ACCATTAGCTGAATGTACTATCAATAAAATCCTGAGTCACAAGTACTCACCTTAATATTTAAAAAAAAAAAAAAAAAATATTAGAAAAATAAATATTAAGATTTTAGTAAATTTTACAAGAATAATAAAACTTATCTGTGAGTCAATAGTGAAATAGTTATGCTTCTAGATTGCCAATCACAAGGTCATCAGTTTAAGTCAAACAAAAGACAACAACTGAGTTAGAATCATAATTATTGATTAATTACATCTAATAATGCATTATAAAAATAAAAAAATCTTTAATATTCAGATTCTTAAATAATAACAAATCTGATATAAGAAGGCTGCAATGATTAAAAGGCTGAAGATAATAATAGAACAAAGAAATCACTGATTAGGAATAATTTCAATAAAATTCTGAGGTAATAGGAACACAAAATCAATATATAGATAGTACTGTAAATGTATATAAATAAAATATAAAATGTATATGGCCTTACTATTAATATTAAAAAAAAAAAAATGTAAAATATAAAATATAGATAAGATCCTGAAAGAAGGTTCTGTGAACTTAAAAAATTCGAACTAATAAAATAGTTACTAGTTACAATCCACTAGTAATCAGGCAGTGGAAAAAAAAAAAGAATAGTAAAACTAAATTAGCAATATATAAAATATAGAAAACTTTAATAATTTTTTATTAAAAATAAATAATTTTAAAAATATTAATAAGTATTAAAATTTTAAGTAAGTTTAGTATAAAAAATGTTCTGTAATACAAAATAAATTATATGTACAAAGAGTTTAAATAAACAAAACCTATAATTGGCTTGCAAGTATAACATCTAGCATAGAATCTGTATAGTAATATATAGACAAATTACTTAAATTAGATACTAAAAATGTATATATGACTAGTTGTAACCTTTTATATAAAAGAACTCTTGAAGATTTTTGTATTTATATAACTTAATGTAAAATTTTGTATAATTACATTTTAATTCAAATGTATTAAGTTGATGTATCATGCTTAATGAGACGACCAATAAAACGGTATTATATATAAGCCATAGTTTAAGTTTCTAAGTTTCGTGTTCTTTTTTGGTTAATTATTTTCGTAGGATAAATTTGTCTTATCATTAACTTGGGCCGATCATCAGTTTATACTTTTTAAAAAATTGCGAAACGCATGAAAAATCCTTCGATTTGATTAGCGGTTAGCCACCGGAAACCAATGAAAATCCAAAGCTTAAATTTTTTATTCAGTATGTATTTTAGTTTCTGAAAAATCCGATACATCGCGATTACGTATTCGCTAATGCTGATCAAAGAAGATGCCAGAGCTACGTTTCTGATACTTTATTGAGGATGCATCAAAGATGTAATTTCTATCATCAAAGCACATAGAAGTATGAACCTTCTGCTTCTTTCCGGTCAAAAAAAAAAACATTATATCTTAAATGTCCTAATAAACATTCTTAACTCTTAATTTTAATTATGCATTGCACTCGATATTTTCCTATGAACCACACGCTTTTTCATCCTCCTGCTTTCCATGTGACAAATTTTAGTTACATACTCTGCACACGTCGTTGGTAAATAATAATGAAGCCTCTACGAAACGGTTTGTTTTCTGTGTAACAAAGCTATAACTAATTAATAGAAAGAAAATTTTGGTGATTTTCATACTAAACCATATCGAGAGCAATAATAGTAATACACATAATAGCGATAGGAGCAGTTTGTTAATGTTCAGTCTAACCCAAACCAGTGAAAAACTTTATCGTTATCTATGAACATAGCCAAATATATAGGCATATTATCTACAACCGCATCGTCACGTGCGACAGAATCCCCTATCTTCAACTGATAGAAATTCTCCGTGGGAATTAACGTAATAATTTATTTATTATTATCTTAACGTTAATGTTAGCACAAACTTAGTGTGACCAATACATTCTTAATTAGCAATGACAGCGAGAAAGAGTATTGATTATGTCATAAAGAGGATGTGACGTTCACAAATTTTCACTCTGCAAGAAATGTTGGTTGCGCGAAGCAGCCAATTTGACGTCTCGAGCAGTATGAAAAAAAAAAAAACTAAGGTTGTTAAAAAGTTCACCAGAGTCAGATCCTTTGAGTCGACAAATCAGATATCCAAACTTATGTAATTTAGTGGATTTTTCGTTATTCAAACAATGCTCTGAAATCGCGTAAGTCTGGACACCCTAGGACACATCGAGTCTGACTCATTACTGCTTATGAGTAGAGTTCTAAGAACCACATGAATAATACTTTTAATATGTAACACAATATTTGTTTCCATTATTGTCCCACAAAGAACTAGTCTGATCTCATTAAACCTTTGATTCCAGATCAGATCAGATCTATACTGAACTTTTAACGACCAAGCTGGGACTCATCTATTTATAATATTAATTAAATTTCGGATCGACTTCTGACCAACTGACTTTACTTCGTTGTTGAACATGATAGGACAGGACTTTTAACATCCTTAAACAAAACTTACTGAGATCCCATTCGTCTCAGGGCGTTCACCTGCTGGGCTCTCATAGTCTTTAGCGGAAATTGATTACATCATAATGATAGAAAGCAGATATCTTGCACGATGTTTTAAAAGATCAACTTATGAGTTCGAAATAAAAACTATATGGCCAGTAATCACAATATTTCATGCTGGGACATTCAAATATCAAATATACAAAACCAATTAAATAACTAAGTAAATACGAGGCTAGCGTTATCGTGGGTGACAATAATTATTCATCATGTTAGACCAGTTAAATTAATCAGCTTGCATTACATTAATGCAGATCAAGCCACCCGATTCCGATCCGGAAATTACATAGCAGGTGCTGGCCTCTTATAAATATCCCTTGAATTTCTTTGAAAATTAAATGTTATAAGAGTTGTAGGTTAAATTACCGAAATTTAACCGAATATTCGTACTTGTACTTATGTGTTTTTTTTTTTTTTTTTTTTTTTGCGATTTTTCTGAAAGTTTGTTAACAATTTTATAAATGTACATTATGTAGGACGATAATCGTGTACAAGATTTGCATGCATAAACATAAATAATTCAAAATTTCCACTCAGGAAATTCCATGATTTATAAACTTGAAAATCAATGCTTATTTTTCTTATGTTTAGAAACTTCATGTTTAGAGACCGTATTTTATTTTTGTTAAATATTCCTTTTTTTGAATTTTAATCAAACAGTTAACTTGGTCAAGGTTTGATTTTTTTTTCTCTTTTTTCATTTAATCATACTGGTCAATCTGAATAAAGACAAAATTTTAATTAAACATTCTCATTGTAGAATGTTGCTAATTCCCGAAGATTTTCCTGTAGATTGTATTAGAGAAATCATAACATATATGAAATACGATTTCAATTCCCTTCATTCTTGTCTTACGGTTAATAAAAAATTCGGTGAAATTGCTATCGAGATTTTTTGGAGAAATCTCTGGACATCACGGGAACATGATGGCTTTTCTGAAGGCGCTTATAGTTTTTGGGCTGCTGTTCTTCGAGCATTAATTTCTTCTTTACCAAATCAATCCAAAGATTTTTTGATTAATAATGGTGTCACAATACCTCGCCAAGGTCATAGAAAGCAATTAATGTATGACTATCCTAGCTATTGCAAAACAATGGATTGCTTTGCAATTTCTAATATGATAGAGCAAGTGATTAGTGTGACTCACCAAAACGATCGTCCTAGAAGAATACAATATATTCAACACCTTTTACAACAGGAAATATGCAAATTATTGATAGAACGAAGTATCTCTATACCAATCCTTAAATTTGAGAACGAATTCCCCGTCCCTTATTTTCCAGGCGCTGATAAATGTTTTGAAAAACTGTCTGAGCTACATTGTCATACAGCCACACCAGATTTTCTCTTCTATGCTTTGGCACAGAATTGTAAAAATATTCAGACCATTATTATCGACTTTTTTGATGAAGATAATATTGGTCTATCAGGTTTGATTGACGTACAACAAAATCTCAAACGATTAGAATGTAGAATCGATGAACTAGCCGAATCTCAAAGGTTCCCTGCAATTATTGACGTGATAAAATCAAATGCAAGCTCATTTGTTCATCTCGAACTTTTACATTTTATGTGTATTCCACCCCCGATAATCTCACTAATGCAACATTTAAAAGTACTTAAGATCTTGTTGAACGAAATGCCATATGATGATGTTTGGGAAGAGCTTGCATCAGTACGTTTGCCACAGCTGGAAATCCTTCATATTTCTCTGCGTTCACTAAGATTAGAAACTTTACATTCTTTAATTGCAAAAAATTATGATAACCTCAGCACATTAATAATTGATTTTCGTCCAACAAGTAGTCAATCAATATTCTTCAATGAAACGGTCGCCCAATTTTGTCCGAATTTAAAAGTCTTTGCTACATGGTTTCTAAATAATGAATTTGATGTACTTGAGGAAATATTAAACAAATGTAAACATTTGGAAGAATTATTCCTTCAAGCCTTTGATAATATGAATTTAAATAGTTATAGGTTGTTCAAATTATTAGAGATAATTACGCCAAAGCATTTTTGGACATTAGGATTGTCAGGGAATTGGTGCGATCCATCAGATGCTCTGAAATTTTGTTTTGAAAGCTGGAAAAAGAAAAAGAACCATGTTTCTTTAATTTTCTCTGAGAATGTATGCATTAGTTCCGAGCACATGGATCTTATTCTTCAATATAGTGAAGAAGGAGTAGTTAGACAGTATAAAATTGTAGTCGATCCCGTAAGGCATGAATTCAATTATTAATTATAATTACTATGAATTGATTGTTGAATTTTCTCTTTAAGATGTTTATATGAGAACATTTCTAACCATATTTTAGTTAGACTAAGGTTCCAAATCCCTATAATGTTTTAATTGGGACATTAATTGCGAAATTTTTTTATTTACAATTCTCAGCTTCTTTTTTTCAGCAATTAAATAAATAGATAAATGGTTTTTTTTTTCTTACATATTTCTATAAAATACGTTTCTTATAAAACCTGTTTATGTTCCCAATTTTGACAAAAGTAAACCCCTTAAGTAAATTTAATATATGAATAAGTTTGCTAATAAGATTCCAAATTATATTACTGGATTTTTAGCGTTAATTAAGATATATCTCTTTTAGTTTAATGTTTAAATTACATGAAACAATATGCATAGGTGTTATTCTGAACATTGCATCTTTAAGAAAAGCATGTCGCTCAACAATCAATCGATAAGTTACAGTACTTCAATTCAAAATAACGCCACACGTCTCAAAATAACGCGGATTTGACATCCATAACAGGTTCAAATGACATATACAAGATATGGTGCCTTCTTCGATAATTTGTGTTATTAGTTTCAAGCTCTGCAACTCGCTGTTTCAACGATTAAGCACCTATTACATATTTATTAACGACTCTACATAAGACACGGATTTATTAAAAAATTTCGATCATATATGGATATCTTGACATCCATTCACTGAAATCCATCCTAAAATATATATGCACAACATGCAAGCGAAAACCGTAATTCTTGAATTTCGGATTTAACACTTCACGGAGTATGGCTTATAAGTAGCATCTATTTCCGCATGAAATTCTGACGTTATAATATAAAAATATAAAGGCAAAGAACGGTGTTTCATTTACATATTATATATTATAGATAAGTTGGTATCCTGTAAAGCGAAATTATTTGAATAATGAATTGGTAGGCATTAATACAAAAAATCGATCACTAATCAGATTACATTTTTTTAATTTACATTAAATGGGGGTGTCAGTAGAAACGCACCATATCATTTTTAATGAAATTTTTTGAATCTTTAAACAAAAATAACTTAGCAAATCCTTAATCAAATTTAATAAAATTTTTTTTAAATGAATTCTATAAGTTTTTAAGATTGGTTTAAAAAACATTTTATTAAATTTGATAAAGTTATTGTTGAGTTATCTTTGTTTAAAGTTTTAAAAAATTTACTTAGAAAAAATATGGTGCGTTTCTACTGACCAAATATAATTCGGGTCCGGAATCGGGCCGGGCTACCCGGGCACGAATCCGACCTGGATTGGACAGATTTTCACTGACTGACAGCGATTGACCAATTATACTAGGAAAACGGAATCCGTTGGGTTCCAGAGCGCCGCTTCGTATTTTGCAAAAAAATCTACTAATTCGCAAAATGTTAATAACAAGAATGTAAAAGGTTTTAACTTTGTAAATTAGTTCTTAGATACAATTCAGCGCTATAAATAAAGTCAATATGTGCAATTATTTCAAAATTATTTATATAAAAAAATTGTTTTCCACTTAATAGATTACAAAAATTTTAAGTCATAATATAAATAAATTTCAAAATGGTTATATAAAGAAAATACATATAACAGTTTAAAATTAAAAAAGTACACCAGATTATGAGAACAAATTAATTAAATTTATATGGTCTTATTAAGTGCAAAATTAATTAAAACTTGTACTTATATTTATAAATTGTTTTTCTTCTAGTATTTATTCTTGCATTCTTGAACTTTTTTTAATACATTGAAGTTTTTCAAAAGTAAAGGGTTCAAAGATTAGATCATTAATAGAGTGAACTTGTGATATTGCTACAAATGAGAAACCAGCAGCAAATTCTTTTTTTTCAAGAGTTATTATGGTTTTAGGAAGAGTTAGATCTTAAGATTTGTGTACTGTAATTGCCTATACAAGTATTAAAGAAACTTGTAAATGTGAGCATATAGCAAACTTCCTATCTCAAGTTCTTCTAATAAGAGTTATTATTACAATTTGTATACCTTCTAGCATAGTAATTATAAGATCATGATAGTCATTAAATACAACCAAAACTGAATTTGAAAGTAAAGATAACCTATAACCTTCATCAAATAAAATATCTATAATTTTTTCTATAATGTTTTTTATAAGTTTAGTAAAAGTTTAGAGGTTTGTAGTTAACATAATACATGCTTCTCTGACAAATAAAAGTTTAGCTTTAAGGCCTTTAGCAATATTAAAATTAGCTTTTAAAGCCTCATAATTATTACTATAAATAGTATATATTTTAGCAATAAGTTGATTCAATGATTGTAGTATTTTAAGATTAATCTTATCAACAGCATTCTATATAAATAAAACATAGATAGTATTAGAGAAAGTTTCCTGTTTTTTTATGATCAACTTTTTAAATAGTTTTTTTATTAATATTACTTAGTTTAAAATTGTAAATTTATTATCATAAAGATGTAATAAAAGAGATCTAAATTAGCACTGTTTCTCAGAATTGCCAGCTTGATATTGTGCAATATCTAGTTTATAAACTTTATAAAATTTAGTATAAACTATACTTCTATTATTAGATAAAGTATTAGATGAATAAAAATCTTGTATATACATAAAAAGATCACAAATTAGTAGAAGTTGTTTAAAGTCTTTAACAAATATAACAAAATGATCTCCAAATAGAAGGTTTTGATAATCAGAAAATGCTTGTTATAATTTTAAATCTATCAAAGCAAGAGTACATCATTCTATCATGCTCATTTCATCAATAATAAAATAATTTATCTACTATAGTTTATTTTATAAATGTCTTAAATTTTCATCTATTATATCAAATTTTTTTATATTAATTAGGATTGATAGTGCAAAATGAATAGTACTTTTATAAATATTAAAAATAGCAACACCAATAAGTGCAAGCATAAGAATTGGTTAAAAAAGGTTGTTTTTATTTTTAATTTTATTAAACTTATACTGAATAGCTTAATAAGATAAGACTTTTTAGTACAAACTGTACTTATACTAATAATTTATAATAGATCTAATTTTTTTTCTAAGATTTTGGCAATGTAATTATGTTTTAGTCTTTTAAGGATTTTTTTTCTAATTCTTATTTAAAGATTTAAAAACAATGTCATAATCATCAATTTCATTATTTGTAATATTTTTATTATATACTTGCTAAATGAAGATACTTGCATCTGTAAGAGTAAGATATTGATCTCTACTTTTTCTAGTTCAGTTATAATTTAGATCAGTACTGTATAAACCAAAATTTGAAGAATTACTTATTTGTATATTGGAACCTGTCTCTAACAATATCATTTAATCAGATCTTGTATCTTTAATATTTATTTTATTAAGTTGATATTTATCATTAATATCTTCTTTATTAAGAGTATCTATATCTAATCCAAGTATATTAAAAGAATCAGCTTCAATTTCTTGTAAATGATGATTATAAAATTTTGTTTATAAAAGAGTTTTATTCTTTGTAAGATATATGATGTTTCTATAATAGATATACAAAAAAACTTTTATTTAACAAAATTTTTCTAGCAAGGCTTATTTTGTAATTTAAAAGAATAAAACCAGATACAAACAATGTTGTCTTTTATGCAGTATTTTTATACTTTTTATATATATATGTATTTTAGATTTAACTAAAAAAATAAAAGTTCTTCAAGTTCAATAGATCAAGTCTAATACAACTGTAAGAATAAAAATTCAGTTATTATATTATAATCTTTACTATTATTAATACATTTTAGAGCCTCTTTATTAAGATTTAAGATTACAAACTTCTAACTAGAATAGTATAGAGAAATTCTAAATAGAAAATAACAGGTTTTCTAAGTTAAAAAGTCATATTCAGCTACTGTATAAAAAAGCAATGTTTGAAAAAACTTAACAGACAGATTATTAGATTCATTATAACAAAGAACTTTGTTCAATATTTTAGAAAATAATGCTAACTAAAACTCTAATTTATTTGTATACTTAGATACATATTTCAGTGCAATATAAGTAATAAATATAGGTTTTAGATCTATACTTGCTCTTTATACTTGAAGCTAAAGATAATTATATGGGTTTATATAAGGGTTATTTTAAACAGTTAACAATTCTAGTTGACCATGATCATTATCTTATATAATAGTTTTTTTTTTTAATTCTTTGAGAAACCCAAATCTATAAACTTATTGGTCTATTTGTTTATTAATCTTTAAACAATATAATATACTACATTGTATATATTGTTAAAGTTTATTAACTAATTTAATATAGTTTTATAAATTATTATTACAGTGTTTTATATATTTTTGATATAAGTAATTATGCAGTATTGATGCATCTATATCTGAATTAATAGTAATTATTAAAGAATCCATATAATCTAAAATATTTTGTATTAATTTTTTATTATTTTTTATTTTATTTTATTTAACTATTAGAGCATTAGCTTTAATTCTAATTCTATAAATATGTGCATTACTACAATGCTATCATTTAAAGCAAAACCACCAATCTACTAAGTTCCATTTTGAAACTAAAACTTTTTTAAAAAAAATATTAAATCTTTTATTAAAAAACTATACAACTATATGTAGATTATTAATTAAATTCTAGTATTGATATTTAGCAGCCTTTTCATTAGTTTTATATTTTATTAAATTTTTTTTTCATATGATATAAGTTTATATAATTTAGGCCAGTATGTATCAGCAGAACTAAAAGTAAAAAAAGCATTCCTTTGAACTCTAATTGGCTTATTATATTTGATAATTCACAACTATGTTATGTTTAATATTAATGAGTACTATGTAATACTTTTCTATATCATATTATATGATTTGTCAAATTATCATTAGATTGTAATAACTCTTAGATCTCCATAGCCTTAAGTTGACTTTCTTCTAAGTTTTGCTGAACAAATATACATTCAGATTGCAATGCTCATCATCTCATTTAAGAATTTAAAACAAAATAACATC